GAGGCACAAGGCCTGGAGTGGGCACAGGCAGCTGGGAGGCTCTGCTTGACTGGGGCTGAGTGAATGGGAGGGGGGTGGCAGAAAGGGACACCGGAGAGGCAGGTAGTCACTCAAGCACCCGCAGCCTCTGGATTTGCCTCCTGGGGCTGCAGTAACAGAGTGCCACAACCTGGGGATCTTCCAACAACAGAAATGTGTCTTCTCCCAGTTCTGGGGGCTGGGAGGCAGAAATTGAGGTGTCAGTGGGGCCATGCTTCCTCTGCTGGTGCTGGGGTGAACGCTGCCTCCATCTTCCTGCTTCTAGTGGGTCTCAGCAATTCCCCCAGTGTCTGCCCCCATGGTCACGGGGCTGTTTCCACGTTGTCTTCCCTCTGTGCACGTCTACCTGTGTGTCTGGATTCCCCCTTCCCCTCTTGTTTTTGAGACAGGGTTTTACTCTGTCGCTCAGGCTGGAGTGCAGTGCTGCGATCAGAGCTCACTATAACCTCTCACTCCTGGGCTCAAGCGATCCTCCCACCTCAGCCTCCTGAGTAGCTGGATGGGAGGATCACTACAGGCACATGCCACCATGCCCAGCTCATTTGAAAATTCTTTCGTAGAAAAGAAATTAGCCGGGCGTGGTAACTCACGCCTGTAATCCCAGCTACTTGGGAGGCTGAGGCAGGAGAATCGCTTGAACCCGGGAGGCGGAGGTTGCAGTGAACCGAGATCGCGCTATTGTACTCCAGCCTGGGCAAAAAGAGTGAAACTGTGTCTCAAAAACAAACAAAACAAAACAAAATAAAACAAATTTGTAGGACATAGTCTCACTGAGGGACCCAGGCTGGTCTCAAACTCCTGGCCTCAAGTAGTCCCTTCTGCCTCCTGGAGGAGGCTGAGGTGGGAGGATCGCTTGAGTCCTGGAGTGAGAGGCTACAGTGAGCTCTGATCACAGCACTGCACTCCAGCATGAGTGACTGAGTAAAATTTACCCTGTCTCAAAAACAAGAGACGGAAAAAAAAAAAAAAAGTTACTGAGCTTTCTGGGACGTGGTTGTTGGTTTCCATGTGGTTGTTTTTCCCCTGGCTTTGTATCAGGAAAATGTTCAAACAGAAGCAGAGCAGTGACCGCGTGTCTGTACAGCCCTCGACTATCCCTGTTTTGATCTTGTCCCCACCCCCTCCCCACCCTAAGTTATATTTGTACCCTTTCTGACTCTCTGCAGGCTTTTTAGGCAAGTTGTGGTACAAAATCCAGCTTTGTCACTTGTAGACGTTGTGACTTTGGACCCATGACACCATATCCCTGGGCCTCGCTTTTCATTTATAAAATTGGGGGCTGGGCACGGTAGCTTGCGCTTGTAATCCCAGCACCTTGGGAGGCTGAGGCAGGCAGATCACAAGGTCAGGAGATCGAGACCATCCTGGCTAACATGGTGAAACCCTGTCTCTACTAAAAATACAAAAAATTAGCCAGGCGTGGTGGCACGTGCCTATAATCCCAGCTACTTGGGAGGCTGAGGCAAGAGACTCACTTGAACCCAGGAGCCGGAGGTTGCAGTGAGCTGATATTGTGCACTGCACTCCAGCCTGGGTGACAGAGCAAGACTCTGTCTCAAAAAAAAAAAAAAAATTGGGATGACACCTGGCAACTACCTGAGCAGCAAATGTGTGCAAAATGCTCTGCGCCGTGCCTGGCAGATGCGGCTGCCAACCAGCCGTGTGCCTGAGACAAGCCCTGGCAGCCTCAGACCTGGGCCCTGGCCCACAGCTGTTCCTGTCCCTGGCAAAGATGGGTATCCTTGCTAAAGTCACTCGTCAGCCATACCGGGCAGGGTGGTGGGGGCCCTTGATCCAAAAAACCTGCCTCTCAAGGGGTGTCTATCTGTGAGTATCTCACAGCTCCTTGCGCAAATGTTGACATGTTAACAAGAAGTCAAAATTCAGGGCCCTGAAAAAACAACTGAAGAATCAAAGAGAAGAAGTGAAATGACAGTCAACAGTGGGTTGGTAAAAGCCACATAGGGCAATGCTGCGCCAACTTCCTTGAGTACTCACATCTGCCGGGGTCTTGGCGCTCTGCAGGCTGGAGCCAGCCTGGGGCTCTGTGTCTCTAACAACCCCTGCCCTGCCAAGAGCCATAGCCCACAACTGGGGCAGTGAGGGCAGGGGGCAGACGGGGACCTGCGGGTCCCCCTGCATGCTTTCATATGTCCTGTGAGTTAAGAGTGGGTTTTATATCACCATTATTATTTATTATTATTATTTTGAGATGGAGTCTCGTTCTGTCTCTCAGGCTGGAGTGCAATGGTGTAATCTTGGCTCACTGCAATCTCCGCCTCTTGAGTTCAAGCGATCCTCCCATTTCAGCCTCCCAAGTAGCTGCAATTACAAGCGTGTGCCCCCACGCCCGACTAGGCTAATTTTTGTATTTTTAGTAGAGACGAGGTTTTACCATGTTGGCCAGGCTGGTCTCGAACTCCTGGCCTCAAGTGATCCGCCTGCCTCAGCCTCCCAAAGTGCTGGGATTACAGATGTGAGCCACCACACCTGACTGGGTTTTACATTTTTAAGTGGTTAAAAAATCAAAAGAATAATCTTTGTGACACATTCAAATTTCAGTGCCCATGAAGTTTCGTGGGAACGGGCACGCCTGCCCTTTATTACTGCCTGTGGCTGCTGTCACGGGGCCGAATTGAGCAGCCGTGACGGGCCCCTCCCCGGGGCCAGCAGAGCACAATTGTTCCCTCTCCAGCCTTGACCCAGGCCCCGCCTGTGCCCCGCGTCGCTGTAGCCAGCAGGGGGCAGCAGAGAGCCACGCGCACGCCTGGGCTGTGCAGGAGCCGCAGCGGGGACGCGGTGAATTTGCGTCCCGGGCCGAAGCGGAGGTTTCCTAGCTGGGGTCTGAGATGTGGACCTGGGGTAGAACTGCCCGCGGGCGATAGCAGGAGGAGACGGGGTGGGGGTGACAGTAATCGTGCAGGCAGGGCCGGCCTCATCAGGGTAGGCAGGGCAAAAAGGGACAATTTGTTTGCTGGAGTGAAAGGGCAAGACCTGCAGGCAGGCGGGGGGAGGGTGACCCCACAGGGTGGGGCACCCCGAAGGCCACGTGGGCCTGGACTTCAGGCCGCGCCATAGGGAGTCACTGAAGGGCTCCAGGCGGTAGCTTGATAGCCTCGGATTCTCGAAGAGGGATGTGGCTTTTTGGTGACTGTGCCTCAGGACGCTGTTGCTACAGCCAGGGACAGAGTGACAGTGAGGGCTGAAAGGCAACATGGGGCAGGAGGGACCCGGGCAGGGTGACAGCGAGGGCTGTAAGGCCACGTAGGACCGGAGGAACCCGGGGCAGTGTAACAGTGAGGGCTGTAAGATCACATAGAGCAGCGGGGGAGGGCAGGGGGGGCACCTGGGGGCAGGGTGACAGGTGAAGTCTGGAAGGTCACGTAGAGCAGAGGGACTCGCAGCAGGGTGACAGGGCTGTAAGGTCAGGTAGAGTGGGGGAGCCTGGGGACAGGGTGACAGATGAGGGCTATAAGGTCACGTAGGGCATGGGGGACCCGGGAACAGGGTGATAGTGGTGGCTGTAAGGCCACATGGGGCAGGGGGACCCAGAGACAGGAGCGCCCTGTGGTAGATCGCGGCCCACAGACTGCTCTGCGCTGGTTGTCCCGGTCTGTGCTTGCCCCAGGCCGGCAGGATGAGCAGCGTGGCTGTTTTTCTTCTTGCTTCCATTGCCAGCACACTGCAGTCACGCTGTCTCTTTTTCTGCTTGGACCTGGGTGTTTTCTCTAAGGGTGCTCCTGCAGGTGCCAGCTTTCATCCATGGCCAACTGGTCCTGCTAGTTGAGTGCTCGGGCTTCAGGCAAGGCTGTGCTGTGCCTTTTCGTTGTGTCTGAAGTATTTCTTAATGGGGAGGGGAAGGGTCACAGGTACCTGATAGAATCCGGTGAAAGCCAGATGTCCCCCCGATGAACCCCAGAAAATGCACACAGGCAGGTGGCCTCGGAACTGTAGCCATGATTTCAAATGCTCCTGCACTCCCTGTGGCCAGCCTGGCTAAGGACCCCGACCTCGGGGCTGCCTTCTTCCTTTGAGGCTTGGGGCTTGGTGTTGAGAGCTTAACGTCAGATGGTATTGGCCCTCCCAACGGCCAGCCTATCTGGTTTTCTCACTGTCTGTGTCCTTCAGTGCGTCTTATGGAAGTGATGCTTCTGTATGTAAATAGTTTTTTGGAATGGCTAAAATCCCCCAAGCACACGGCACAGGAGCTGCACTGCCTCCCAGGCTGGCAGGCCTGGTGTTCTGGTCTGTGTGTCGGGCAGAGTGGAGCCCTCTGGGAACCTCCCTTAGCAGGAGAATGCTGCTTCCCAGCCTCGTCCTGGGGGAGGACTGACCTCTTCCTATGCATTTGGCCGGGAAACACTGTGTTCACAGAACTGGGAACATGCTGAGTTTTATTTCTGGGCTCTTAACACATCATAAAAACCTCTTTTCTTGAAACAAAAAGAGTACTATATCAGACACAGTCTTATTTAGGAAATTATTAGCCTCTATAACTAGAAATAAGTAGATTACAGTTTTTAAAAGATTAATTTAATCTTCATCACAAGGCAAGTTTAGGGGAATCGATTCATTCCATTATGAAATGTTTCCAAAGGATGAATGGAAGCTTTAGAAAATCTAATTCAATATCAACTTTTAATAAAAGTAGTCATTCCCAACAATTATGGTTTCATAATGTGTGTGTGTGTTTAAACGACAGCTTTAGGGGAGTTTAATTTCCATAACATCAAATGTATCTTTTCAGCGTACAGTGCAATGATTTTGAGTAAATTTACAAAGTTTTACAACCATCTCCACACTCTAATTCTGGAACATTTGTACCGTCTCCAAATGATCTCTTACTTTTTAATCACCAGAAATGATACTAGAGAAAATAATTGTAATCTATTATTTCCTGTATTTACATCAGCTAAGTGCTATTCTTAATAATAAACGCCCTCTATGGATATCTCTTGCAGGCAAACATGAGACAGTTGGAGGGCAGCTCTTGCAATCTTATCAGAAGCTGAGGTGAGTGTTACAAAGGACAGACCGTCCCAGGCCCTCCGGGGCAGGAGCGCAGAGGACACTCTGCAAGAACTTATAGGTCTCTTGACTTTCACATGTCACTGCTTTGGAATGTCATTTTTTTTTTTTCTTTTAAAGATAAAGTTCCTGAAAAAGATTAAAGCAGAGATGTTTCCAGATTCTCATGAGAAACCTTCTAGCTAGCATAGTATTTTCTCACTAAATATTCAGCTCTACTTCTAAAATTCTCCTGAAATGTCATAAGGAAACTAAATATTATGTTTAATTGCACATTAAGTGAAATTCTAAGGCAAGCATTTGCTTTGATTAATTATGCCTATCTCTAATACCTTACGCAGTACCTGGCACGTTAAGAGATATTGGTGGAATAAACATTGATAGAATTGAATAATGGCCTGAGAGATGTGAACTTCTTTGCATGAAATTCTAAAAACTGAGCAGTCACGAAGCCGGCCATAATTCACACACCTGATTACCCTCAATGTATTAATTTATTAAAGTGTTTCTGAAACCTGCCCACCAGCTGCTATTTTGTTGGGTCCATGGTGAAATTTTCTAGTATCAAGACTTTTTCATTTTTTTCCTCCCCTATTCTTTCCCATTTCTTTTAGCACAAGCTTCCGGTTTGCTTCGTGGTTGATTCTCACATCCACAACATTTTTGGCGCTTCTGCGGGTGTGGTTTGTGCTAAGAGTACACGGGAGCGCCAATGGGAGCCAGGGGATTCCCCGCAGCCAGGTAGCGGGTCCAGGCCGGAGTACCCAGGCCGTTTCAGGACACGTGACTGAGCAGAACAGAGTACCCAGATTTTGGGCAGCATCACTCTCATATAGATACCAGAAAATCATGCCCTTCACAGAGCAGCAGGTCCAAGCAGGGCTGCTGGCTATTCTTCCAAAAAGTGAGGCAGTTATAAAAAAAAAAAAAAAAAAGCAGAAAACTAAAATTATAGAATAATGGCACATTTTGTGTATTTGTAAAACTAATGACTTGCATAGTTCACAACCCATTTCTTATTCCTGTATTTTCCTTGGCAGCAAAATTTCTGTGGTTCCTCCTACTCCACCTCCTGTCAGTGAGAGCCAGTGCAGCCACAGTCCTGGCAGGGTAATGTATCCATTCTGGGCACTTCTCTAGTAGGGGGTAGGGGATAGAAGGAGAGGAAGCAGGGAAGGTTTGGAGGCTGAGGCTGGGCACAGAACCTCCCAGCTAAGGGATTTGACTGTGCCTGGAGCAGGTCACAAAACGGGGTGTGGGGAGTGAGGGCCCTCAAGGCTGGCCAGAGCTTCTTTCCTCCTTCTGGCCGTGGGACCCTCTGTGTCATCAGCGACCCCTTCTGCCCGCACTCAAGGTCTCTTTACTCTTGGCATGGCATCGGCCCTCTTCTCCAACTCTGCTCTGTGCTGGGCATGTGTGTAGAGTCTCTGGGGTCTAAGGGGAAATAAGATTGGTTACAGGTGTGTGAGAGTGGGAGCGTCTCTTTTGAGTGTGTGCAGGCTCTAATGTACAGTGGACCAGCACCATTTCTGTCCAGGGAAATTAGCTGTGCCATCTTGGGGCAGTTACCTGGGTTTCCCACCTGAGAGGTGGAAATAATTTTACAGGTGCTGCTTGACTCACGATGGGGTTATGTCCCAGTACACCCATAGTAAATTGAAAATATTGTAAGTCAAAAATATATTTAGCTAGGTGCAGTGGCTCACACCAGCACTTTGGTGGGTCACTTGAGGCTAGGAATTCGAGACCAGCCTGGCCAACATGGTGAAACCCTGACTCTACTAAAAATACAAAAAGTAGCTGGGCATGGTGGCAGGTACCTGTAGTCCCAGCTACTCTGGAGGCTGAGGCAAGAGAATTGCTTGAGCCTCAGAAGTGGAGGTTGCAGTGAGCCAAGTCCCACTGCCCTCCAGCCTGGGCAACAGAGCAAGACTCCACCTCACACACAAAAAATTGTGTTTAATACACACCTAACCTACCAAACAGCATAGCATAGCATAGCCTGCCTTAAATGTGCTCTGAAGGCTTGTGTTAGCCTACAGTTGGGCAGAATCATTTAATGCAAAACCTATTTTATAATAATAAAAATGTTACTAATAATACAAAATAGAAAAGATCAAAATGCAAATTACGGTTTCCACTGAATAGATATTACTTTCACACCATCGTCAAGTCAGAAAATTGTAAGTCAAACCATCGTAAGTCGGGGAGCGTCTGTATTTGTCTGGCTTGCCTCCCATGGCTGTTGTGAGAAATTAACAAAATAATGTCTGTGTTGGTACTTGGAAAACTGTAAATTGCCATGGAAATATATTGTCTTGGTTATCTTCATTATTCTATAAATTAAAGGTAGCAGGTATATATGGGAGAATACAGGAGCTGATCCTAATCCCAGAAGGCACAGTTCCGGGCGCCATCACCCTGAATGCTGGAATCCTGAAAGATCAAAATCCCAAAAATAGAATTCTAGAAAATCTAAAAATTATTTTGAAGAAATGTATTTAAAATTTTTAAAGGGGAGCCGGGCATGGCGACTCACGACTATAGTCCCAGCACTTTGGGAGGCCAAGGCGGGTGGATCACGAGGTCAGGAGATCCGAGACCATACTGGCTAATACGGTGAAACCCAGTCTCTACTAAAAATACAAAAAATAACCAGGCCTGGTGGCAGGCACCTATAGTCCCAGCTACTCGGGAGGCTGAGGCAGGAGAATGGTGTGAACCTGGGAGGCAGAGTTTGCAGTGAGCTGAGATTGTGCCACTGCACTCCAGCCTGGGTGACAGAGCGAGACTCTGTCTAAAAAAAAAAAAAAAAAAAAAAATTTAAAGGGGATTTGAGAAATGTATAAAAACATGGCAACAGCCTGGGCAACATAGCAAGACCCCATCTCTACAAAAAATTTAAAAACTAGCTGGGTGTGGTAGCACATGCCTATAGGCTCAGCTACTTAGGAGGCTGAGGGAGGAGGATCCCTTGAGCCCAGGAGGCCAAGACTGCATTGCGCCACTGCATTCCAGCCTGGGCAACACAGCAAGACTGTCTCTAAACAAACAAACTAAAAACAAAAACCGTGACACAACACTTCATTGGCCACTTTACACAATACATAGGGCAAAAACAGCATGCATATTTTTATAAGCATAAACACTCAGATATACTAATGACAGTCACATGGGTATAACAATTATGAACAGCTGAACTATATTCATAAAGAAATACATCAGAAAGGGAAGTGTAGAAATGCATATTACTGTGGCCGGTATTGTGTGCATCCAGCTTTGTAACTGAAATATTGCCATGAACAACAGTATTTTTCAAACAGTCATTTGATGAGATGGATCAAAACCCACCATGGGTCACCATTGCATATGCAGTCACCCAAGCAACTGAGATCTCAAGAAATTTTATCTTTTGCAAATACAGATGTACAGAAAGGAGATCTCTTCACTTAGAAAATATCAACGTTTTTATGTACAGCTCAAAGTCATGGTGTGATGACGTACTTCGAAGCATGAAATCAATTTTAAAAAAAAAAGTGCATAACACAAATGAAAACTCTCTAAAAGTCTGTGCAGTTTTTACCTCCAGCATGGGAAATGATGAACTACATAGCATAGCAAACTGCTGTGTGTGAAGGGGCAGAGCTCATACACAACTAAACTAAATAATTTGGCAGGGGAGATTTCTTGTAGTTTTTTGCTTGTGTTTTTACTTCTAAGATCTGTGAAACACTCGCTGCACTTGTATTGAGAGAGTGGTTGTGGTCTAAGCATTTTTTTTTTTTTTTTTTTTGAGACGGAGTTTCACTCTTGTTGCCCAGGCTGGAGTGCAATGGTGTGATCTTGGCTCATCACAACCCCTACCTCCCTGGTTCAAGCAATTCTCTTGCCTCAACCTCCTGAGTAGCTGGGATTATAGGCATGCACCACCATGCCCAGCTAATTTGTTTTGTATCTTTAGTAGAGACGGGGTTTCACTATTGGCCAGGCTGCTCTTGACCTCCTGACCTCGTGATCCGCCCGCCTCCCAAAGTGCTGGGGTTACAGGTGTGAGCCACCACACCTGGCCAGGTCTACGCATTTTGTAAGCACAAAATGCTTACATGCTGTGCATTTGAAAGGCTGGTTCTTGCTCAATCATTGGTAATTAAGCCATTTCCTGCCTTTGCAGCACCAATACTAATTAGTTTTTAAACTTTTACCATTCATTATCAAATAGCCTTATACTCATATCACAGGCTTTTTGGTGAAGGAACCATTTCACAGATCTCTTCTGTTGTGCTGTAAGGAATACAATAAGAAGGAATGATAGCTGACTTCCTCAATACCAAGTCTGTATTAGGGTTCTCCAGGTAGACACAGCCAATAGGATACGTACATAGATATATGAGAAGGGTCTTACTAGGGGAATTGGCTCACATGATCGTGGCAGCTGAGAAGTCTCTCCGCAGGCCATCTGCAGACTGGAGACCCTGGGATACCAGTAGCGTGAGTCAGTCCAAGTCCCAAGGGGTCAGCATCAGGAAAGCTGATGGTGTTGTTACAGGAAACAGACCCCAAGAAATGGTTCTTGGATCTCGCGGAAGAAAGAATTCAGGGCGAGTCCATAGAGTAAAGTGAAAGCAAGTTTATTAGGAAAGTAAAGGAATAAAGAATAGCTACTCCATAGACAGAACAGCCCTGAGGGCTGCTGGTTGCCCATTTTTATGGTTATTTCTCAATGATATGCTCAACAAGGGATGGATTATCCATGCCTCCCCTTTTTTAGACCGTGTAGGGTAACTTCCTCATGTTACCGTGGTGTTTGTAAACTGTAATGGCACTGGCGGGAATGTAGCAGCGAGGATGACCAGAGGTCACTCTTGTCGCCATCTTGGTTTTGGTGGATTTTAGCGGTCTTCTTTACTGCAACCTGTCTTACCAGCAGGTCTTTATGGCCTGTATCTTGTGCTGGCCTCCTATCTCGTCCTGTGACTTAGAATGCCTTCACCATCTGGGAATGCAGCCCAGCAGGTCTCAGCCTCATTTTGCCCAGCGCCTATTCAAGATGGAGTTGCCCTGGTTCACACAGCTCTGGCAGTGTAACTCTCAGTTCAAAGCTGAAAGCCACAGGACCCAGGGAGCCTCTGGTCTAAGTCCTGGAGTCCAGTGGCCAATCAGCCTGGAGTTCTGATGTCCAAGGCAGCAGAAGAAAAGTCTGCTCCAGCTCTCAGAGACCAATTCCCTTGCTGTGTTTGTTCTCCTTAGGCCCCTGGTTGAGTGATGGTACGTGCCAATATTGAGGGCAGATCTTTCTAACCTAATCCACTGAGACTCACACACTGATCTCCTCTGGAGACACCCTCACAGACACACCCAGAATAATGCCTTACCAGGCTTCTAGGTATTCCTGAATCAAGTCAAGTGGATGCCTATAATTAAGGTGTCATTAATTAATTAAGTCCACGAGTCCACCCCTTGTCAACCTGGTACCCATAGGCTCTCCTTAAGTCATACTTAATTTAATACAGGCAGTAACAAGGTAATAGGTCCCCTAACATGATGCAACTATCCCGTAATTGTGATTTTGGGGACTTTAGATGTTGAGGATATAGACTTTAGGGATTTTAATCTTTAGGGATTTAGACTTCAGGGATTTTGATCTTTCAACATTTGGGATTATGGCATTTGAGACTGTGTCTTTGAGGTTATGATCCAAACCCACAAATATATAATGCTGATAAGAGAGAAGAATCACATACTTTCTTTTTCAATTTCAAACTGAGACTCTGGGGGTGACCTTCAAAATCCTGCTCTCCTTTCTCCTTGAAATTTCAAATTCTCCAGAGTTGTTTCAGTACCTACATGCTCAAGATGTATTTATCGGACTGATGGATGATTGGATGGATGGTAAGATGGATGAATGTTTGGTGGCTAGATGGGTGGATGGATGGATGAATGAACGAGACTTGGAGAAGGAAGTGAACTCCTTTCTGTTGTTTTATCTTTTTTTTCCTTCTCTTCTGCTTTGGGAAGCGGAGCCCCTCAGCTCTCAGCTGGTCACCTTGTAGCTTTTACCATCCTTATCCTCTGTGCCACCCGCATTCTGCCACTGTTGACATCCCACTCTGCATGGAGTTGGGGTGGAGCCATAGGAGAAAAAAGGTTAAACAAGCAGTAATTTACTTGAGTACAGTCTTTGAGCCAGTGAAATGCCAGTCATCATTTCCCAGGGGTACTTGTCATCTTGTCAACAACCCACTGATAGTGCTCCTTCAATGTGAATATCAAAAGCAGGGAGAGACTCTGAATAAAGAGGATGCCTACCCCTCCAGAAGACTGCTGTCCACCTCCAGGCCTGCATGCACACAGCCACGCCCACCTGTACCCCCAGCACCACACCCACACTCACACCCACACACCCCCACTCATGCCCACACACCCACACTCACGCCCACACACCCACATGCCAGTGTTTTGGGGTTGGCAGCCTGGACGCTGCTGAGGCAAACACAAGTCACCAAGCATAATTCTCATTCTCTCCTTCTGTCTCTGTTTTAGTTACAGGAACTTGGTCAGTGTAGAGGATTTAATAAGTCCGTGGAAAATTTGTTTCTGTCTCTTGCTACCCACGTGAAAAGTAAGTGCATGCTTCATGATGTGTTTTCCCACCACCCTCCAGACCAGCCGAGCCCACTGGCTAGGGCCTGGCCGGTGATCTCAGTTGGCACTGTCCCTCAGGCCACTCACTTTGTCTCTGGACCCCGGGGAAAGCCACAGCACCTGACCCTTCACCTCTTTCCCAACAGAGCAGGCCTCTGGTTCCTTGTGGGAAGGGAAATGCCATTTCAGTCTACAAGGCTGGCTCGGTTTCCCCTACTCCCGCCAAAACCTGCCTAGCTCAGCGTCATGGGCAAAGGAGTTTAGACTTCCCTGAGGACCAACAGAGAAAACGTAAAGAGACAATTTCAGGGCTGGCCCTGGTGGCTCACACCTGTCATCCTAGCACTTTGGGAGGCCAAGGTGGGTGGATCACTTGAATTCAGGAGTTCGAGACCAGTCTGGCCAACATGGTGAAACCCCGTCTCCACTAAAAATACAAAAATTAGCTGGGCGTGGTGGTGGGTGCCTGTAATCCCAGCTACTTGGGAAGCTGAGGCAGGAGAATCACTTGAACCCAGGAGGCGGAGGTTGCAGGGAGCCGAGATGCCGAGATCACACCACTGGACTACAGCCTTAGCAGCAGAGCAAGACTCTATCTCAAAAAAAAAAAAAAAAAAAAAAAAAAAAAAAGAGAAGAAAAGAAAGATGTAATTTCAGGGAATCTAAAACCAGAGCCTTTCAGGCCAGTGGGGCCCAGTATCTATCATCTGCATGGAATTACTTCACCTTTCTCCTTTTCTCCTTGGTAAATGTATTTTCTTCCGTTAGCAGTAATCCTGCGATTTTTCCGGTGCACGTAACCCAGAACCACTTCCACTTGGAATCTTGTGTCTTTCAGTGTTCTCTCTGTTCAGATACTTTTTTCTCTATTTATCTTAAAATGCAAGTCCCAGAGGACAGACTCCTTTTCATGCTTCCTAAGATGCCCAGGGCTGGTCAGGTGTTTAGAAAATGTCCTTAGTGGGCTCAAGTGTCCTTAGGCATGGATTTCTCTCACTGTGTTTCTGCTTGGCTTCTCTTCATCATCCCCTTTTCTGCAGTTGTGTGCAGATGGTCTCAGTGCTGCGCTTGGCTCTGAGACAGTCTCTTTATATGACTTTAATTAGTTGTCCATATTCGTCACGAGCCCTGTCTCAGCTGTCACACGATGACAATGGACATCAAAGCACTGCTCTTCAGATGAACAGAAACAGTGACTGTCTCATGCAATGGTCTGTTCCTTCCTTGTTCCGAGGGAGGAAGCAGCTGAATTTCATGAGCCTGTTTGCTAAGAGCACTTGGTGGCTTAAAAATCACTGCTGCCACCCTACTGGGCTCTCTGACAGTACCCCCGCTCTGTGCCCCTCGGCCTGGAATGCGTTTTCCAGCTGTCCTGGCTGCCTGTTCTCTTGTTGGTGCTGTTTTCCCACCCACACCCCAGTAGGTGCTAGTCCACCCTTCCCTGTATGTCTTTCTAGATGCACAGCCCTTCTCTGAATCTATGTGACTTCTGTGAATTGTCTCCCACCACTGCCACTGTGGAATCAGTGCCTTGGAGTTAGCCCCAGCCCTGTCATCCCTCAGCCACCGAAATCCAGAGAGGTGGGACACACATGTCAGCACACACGTGCCTTCTGGACACTCCCAGCCCTACACACAGGTGCATTGGATGTGCTCACAGCTGTCAGACGGCCACCCCATAGCCTGGCCTGTGTACCTGCTCACACACTTGAGGCTAACCAGCGAAATACCCAGTTGAACGACTAGAGCTAGTCCCTGGGTGAGGTGTGGGGGAATTCACAAGAGCAAAGCAGCAAGCATCCCTTCTCAGATGTGGGAAGCGAACTGAAACCGCATAACCTATACACACACACACCCCAGCACCCACTCCCCCACCCCACCCCCACCCCCTGCCCAGAGGCAGAGATAGAAAGCCCCAGCTTTCTGGTTCCTGGGAGTGGTGCTTTGCCTCTGACCTTTCCCAAGTGCTTTCCCTGGTTCTGCAGGAACAGGACACGTGACCACACACACACCCTTCTCCCGTCTCTGCCACAGGACACGTAGAGTCCTGTAGGCGCTGACTCCTATTTCTTTGGATTTTGAGCTCTTCTTCTCGTGCCCCTGCTATCTTTTTGGCTGTTTGTTTCCCCACGGAAGCGGGTGCAGAGGGAGGCCTCATTCTCAGGGGAGGAAGTCAGATTGGCACCTGAGGTCCTCGGGGAGGGGCTGTGGAGGGCCCCAGACTCTGCACTGGCCCGGGTGCTGAAGGGTGGCCTTGCCCCTGAGGGGTTTTGAAAGCTGACCCAGAATTACAACCTCTAGCTGCTGAAGCTGCCCATCGAAGTCAAATCAGCGGGAGGAAATGAGTGACTGCAGCTCTGTGTATTATCAGTACATTTCTAGAAGATGTCAGCTTTGTCATCCCCCTTAGAAGGGGGAAGAGGAAATGAGAAAACGGCTTGCTCAGAAGCAATCTGCATTTCTTTCTCCTCCTTATCCTTTGTCCCCTAATAATACTGACCTATAAGCCTATTTCTTAGGGCCCAAATTTCTCAAGAAGGCTCGTCCTCTCCCCTTGTCTGTGAACTTTAAATGGCCCATATAGGCCCAGGCTTTGGGGTGGGCACGAAGAGATAGCTGGGGGACCAGTTCCTCCTAAGGGGTTGGAAATTAGAGCCCCTCACAGCGTCACAGCCCAGACTGGGATGGGCCATCTGAGTGTGTCCTTTATTTTGTCCAGTTTGAGGATCTGGTGCGTGCTAGTACCTTGGGAGCTGCTGGCCTTAGAAAGATACCCCAGTGTTTCTTGATGGTCACCTTGAGGATGTGGGGATGGCATTGCTATCAGGGGAGGCTAGGAGGCATCCTGGTGGAGAAGCTGGACACCCCAGCAGTTTCGGGGAGCGTGTGTTGAATTTCCCTCTCTAGAGGAAAAAGTCACTGCAGGACTCACTCCTGGGCAGTGCAGGCGGGAGAGAACCCATACATAGCGAGAGGATAGAGGATTCATGCAATAACATCCCAAGGAGTGGATCCAAAGCCAGCCAGGGAGGTCGAGAGCCATGCTGTCCATTGCAGTAGCCTCTAACCACGTGTCGCTTTTGAGCCCCTGAAAAATGGCTGCAAGATGCACTACCAAAGTGAACACACTGGGTTTCAGAGGCTTGGAATCCAACAAAAGTAAAATATTTCATGGATAACTTTAATATTGATGACATGTTTTAATATTTTGGATATATTGTGCTAAACTACATATAGAATTAAAATTAATTTGGCCGGACTCAAGCCTGTAATCCCAACACTTTAGGAGGCCAAGGTGGGTGGATATCTTGAGCTCCTCAGGAGTTCGAGACCAGCCTGGCCAACATGGTGAAACCCTGTCTCTACTAAAAATACAAAAATTAGCCGAGTGTGGTGACACACACCTGTACTCCCAGCTACTTGGGAGGCTGAGACACGAGAATCGCTTGAACCCAGGAGGCAGAGGTTGCAGTGAGCCGAGATCGCATCATTGCACTCCAGCCTGGGCAACAGAGTGAGACTCCATCTCAAAAATAAATAAATAAATAAATATGAGTTAATTTTACCTGTTTTTTTTTTAAAAAAAACTTTTTAAATGTGGCTACCATAAAAATTTAAAATAATAAGTGTGACTTGCATTTTCTCTCTACCGGACAGCACAGATCTAGAGACCGTTTTAAGGTCCTCGTTTGGAGGAATGGGGGTCTCAAGGGAAAATGAAACCATCTTTGAAGGATGAAACCATCTTCAAGGTGGTTCTCTCACTTCTGTGTGTGGCTTCCTTCCTTCGAACTTTATTCATCTTTATTCTAGACCACTATTACACTGTAGAAACAAATTTGTTGACAGTCATCTTTCCAGGGTTTGCTTACTATAATTGTTATGAGGACACCCCAAATCTTATTTTTGCCTCACTTCAGAGAGTCACAAGAAATGGTGTTAAGGTGTGACATCTTTGTCAGGAAACCCTAGAAAGCCAGCTTGTTTGGTAGGCTGCCACCTTCGTGTTTGGACGAGTGTACACACATGTGTGTGACCTGGAACGCAGGGGAGCCTGGGTGGACGATTTCCCTTCACCTCACCCTGACTATGGCCCGGGTGACCACAGCAGGACCTTGAAGGAAGCCAGCCCTCTCCTGCCCTGATCCAGCACACTGTCTGCTCACCCTCCCGATGCCTCTGCACTTGGTGAGGGATGTGCCACCCTTGCGCCTCCGTGCACTTTGCCCTCTTGGGACCTTGCGACCCACTGTCTGTGGGTTCAGGGAACCCCAGAAGAGGCTCCCACAAGTCTCAGCAAAGCTGCGTGTTCCCACCCGTCAACCCTTGTGTTTGCCTTTTAGAGCTCTCCAAATCCCAGAATGACATGGCCTCTGAGACGCATCTTCTTGCCACGGGCTCTGGGCAGTGTGCGGGCCAGGCAGAGAGACGGAGCCAGTCTGACACCGCGGTCAACGTCACCACCAGGGTACCCTGAGCCCCACAAGGCCTCCATGCTGTTCACCTTCATGTTGTCTTCCAGAACTTTCTAGCCTGCCTTCTCTGTAGATTTACGTTTTCTTTGGTTTTATGGAAAAACAGCCATCAGGAAAACATCATTACCAGTCAGCGCTTCTATTAGGGCAGGCCTGGCCCAAGGCAGGTCGGGATTCAAGGTCAATCTGGAAAACTGTTCAGTACAGGGAAAGGCTTCCACCAAATCACAAGCCCCTGAGGCTCCTCTGTGTCCACAGAGCTCCCTGCTGGCTTCAAGGCTGCACCAAAGCCCAAGGGCTTCCTGCAGGGCCCACACCTGCCGAGTTAGCCCTTGAGTCTGCAAGACCAGCAGCCCCTGGTTAAAATCCGTCCTGGCCTCTGATGGAAACTATTGAAAACATAAAGCCTGTGGGGCGCTCTTCCCCCTCTGTCCACACCACAAATGAGAGCTCCCCTAGTAAAGGCGTCTAGGGAAGTAATTATTCCACCTTCTCACTAGGTCTAACCCAGCCTGGAGTGAATGCTTCGGGTATGAGAGAAAGCCAGCCGCGGAATCGGAAAACCTGCATTCTAGTTCAGTTGAGGTGCCTTGGCTGGGCAGGTGCCACTAGCTGTTGCTTGCAGAGTTGATGTGACTGCCTTGGTAGGCTGGACAGAACGGGTGTCCCTTCTCTGCTGTGGACTCCACTCAAGCTGTCCCCAGACAGACTGTCCTTTAGGCGAGGGTGTGAGGTCAGTCCCCCTCTCCTGCTGGAACTTGCACACAGCCTCTTGAGAGTTCATGTCTTGCCTCCCACTCGAGCCCGTGTACCTACCTCTCTATAAAATGAAGATGATAATTGATACCTGTTCTGCCCACAGCACCAGGTTTTGTAAACATCTAATGAGATCATATAGTATCTTAATTTGCTATCTAAATCATCTAAATATTTTATCTAAATTGCCAGCATTTACTATGATGTGCTGGACTCTGTACTAAAAGCTGAACTAAGCTATCTCGTTTTATCTTCATAACCACCCTCTAGGGTAGGTATTGCATGCAACCTCATTTTACGTGTAAAGAAATGGAGGCTTAGAGAGATTAAGTCACATGCCAAAGGTTGTGTAGCCAAAAGAGGACTGAACTCTGGGCCAGTGATTCCCAGCTCTTATGAGTGTGGGAGTCACTGGGGGTCTTAAAATGCAGATTCCGAATCAGTAGCTATGGGGTGGACGTGAGATGAGGAGCTGCAGATGCATTTTTGGTGAGCTCCTGGGATCTGGTGAAGTCTATGCTGTGAAGTTCTCAGACCACACTTTAGGAGCGAGGTATCTAGACGGTTTGAAATGTATTTGGCAGGTGTTTGAAATTCTATAACACAAGTGTCAGCTCCTGCCAGCTTCCCAGGGTCTACAGTAGTGCCATCTGAACTCCCTCTGGGGATCACTCCTTCTCCTAGTGAAACAGGCGGAGGGGAGGGTTAGCAGCCCCTTATGAAACCCTGTGTTCCACACATGGTGGCAGCATTTTTTCTTACCTAATCACATTTAATGCTTACAAAAATACTGTGATAGATATTGTTACTTGCATGATAAAGATCGGCCGAGCCTGGTAGCTCATGCCTGTAATCCCAGCACTTTGGGAAGCCGAGGTGGGCAGATTGCTTGAGCCAAGGAGTTTGAGACCAGCCTGGGCAACATATGGAAACCTTGTCTCTACAAAAATACAAATATTAGCCAGGTGTGGTGGCACATGTCTATAATCCCAGTTACTCAGGAGACTGAGGTGGTAGGATCTCTTGAGCCCGGGAGGTCAAGGCTGCAGTGAGCCATGGTTGCACCACTGCACTCCAGCCTGGGTGGCAGAGTGAAACCCTGTCTCAAATAATAATAATTTAAAATTTTAAAAATTGGCCAGGCACCATGGCTCATGCCTGCAATCCCAGCACTTTGGGAGGCTGAGGTGGGTGGATCACCTGAGGTCAAAAGTTCAAGACCAGCCTGGCCAACATGGTAAAACCCTGTCTCTACTAAAAATACAAAAATTAGCCAGGCATGATGGCAGGTGCCTGTAATCCCAACTACTGAGGAGGCCGAGGCAGGAGAATCGCTTGAACCTAGGAGGCGGAGGTTGCAGTAAGCGAGATCATGCCGCTGCACTCTAGCCTGGATAACAGAAAAAAAAATATATATATATATAAAACCTGAGTTTCAGTGAGTGGTTAACCGACATGCCTAATGTCACATACTGAATGAAAGATAGAGCCAGGAGCAAACCCAGGATTTGACTCTGAATTCTAAACTCTCTGTTCCTGTAAGAAGGACAAATGAGGACTACTGAAGAAAGAGGGTTCAGGAAGGGGGTTGTGGACATATGAGTAATTCTCTTACTCGCCTGAGTCACAGGAAACCACTCAGAGTCTAACACTGACTTAGGGTTACCAGATGCCTGGCTTGTTCTCAGCGTAATGCCCCTCAGAGGTATTCAGCTTTTGTGATCCTTAAGACAGCCCTGTGAAATTTGTACTGTTCCTGTCCCCATTGAAGACGGGGACACTGGGGCAAAGAGATGACCAAGAGCTAGGTGGAGCCTGCTCCAGAGACCAGCCACACTCTGCCCCTGCCCCCGAGGTGGGATGCACTTCCCATTTACACCAGGATGTGCTGTGTGGTGGCACATCCTGCGCACCACAGGCTGGGCTTGTGGCGTTCTGCATGAGGATGGCCTGTGAGTCCTCGGCACGCCCCTCCCCTGCTGCACGTGCACATGGCCCAGAGCCTGGCCGGGGCTGTCTGATGGGCTGTGGGAGCTCAGGGATAGAAGTGGTGGGGTATGGTGGGGTACAGGGGAGACGGCGGGGAGAGTCTGTCCAAGTAGACATCGTTATGCCTGTGTCCACTTCTCAGCCACGCCCTTGGCAGGACATGCTTCCAACTTTCTGCAGGCCTTCTCTCTCCCCACCTTAACTGAGGATGTGGCTGGGTTGGTTTCGTTGACATGCTTCCAACTTTCTGCAGGCCGTCTCTCTCCCCACCTTAACTGAGGATGTGGCTGGGTTGGTTTTGTTGTTTTGTTTTGAGACCAAGTCTCGCTCTCTTGCCCAGGCTGGAGTGCAATGGTGCTATCATGGGTCACTGTAGCCTTGATCTCCTATGCTTAAGTGATCTTCCCACTTCAGCCTCCCAAGTAGCTGAGACTACAGGCATATGGCACCATGTCTGGCTGATTTTTTCTAATTTTTATTTTTAGTAGAGATGGGGTCTCACTATGTTGCCCAGGCTGCTCTCAAACTCCTGGGCTCAAGCAGTCCTCCCACCTAGGCCTCCCAAAGTGCCAGGATTACAGGTGTGAGCCACCACGCCCAGCCTGATATGGCTGTTTTAAGGGACAATTTAACCAAATGTTTATAAAGTACTCATCTTTGATAGTATGATTTATAAATGCTAAATAACTATTGGGTTAAAATATAAGGAGTACATCTCTATTCATTTTTATTTATGTTTGAGACAGAGTCTCATTCTGTTGCCCAGGCTGGAATGCAATGGCACAATCTTGGCTCACTGCAACCTCTCCCTCCCCAGTTCATGATTCTCATGCCTCAGCCTCTTGAGTGGATGGGATTACAGGCATGCACCACCACACCCGGCTAATTTTTGGATTTTTAGTAGAAATGGGGTTTCGCTGTGTTGCCTAGGCTAGTCTCAAACTCCTGAGCTCAATTCGATCCGCCTGCCTTAGCCTTCCAAAGTGCTGGGATTACAGGTGTGAGCCACCGCGCGTGGCCCAGGAGTACATCTTTAAATAGAACATTCATCAGACTGCAGTTACACATGCCTTAGCCAGGGTGCCCCTGCTTTCGAAGTGGGGGATGTTGGTGTCCACCTTGCAAGTGGCTACATTGAGGCACAGAAGTAGTGGATACCTTTTTTTTTTTTCTTTTTTTTTTTTTTTTTGGAGACAGGGTCTGTCTCTGTCACCGAGGCTGGAGTGTAGTGGTGCGAACACGGCTCATTGCAGCCTCAACCTCCTGGGCTCAGGTGATCCTCCCACCTCAGCACCCCCAAGTAGCTGGGACTACAAGGGTGCACCATTCCACCCAGCTAATTTTTGTATTTTTTCTGGAGATAGGGTTTTACCATGTTGCCCAGACTGGTCTTGAACTCCTGGGCTCAAGGGATCCTCCTGCCTTAAAATCACGCGGTGACTTGGGGATGTTAACTGAGAAAACAGCTCAGCATCTTTTCTGCACCGCTTCTCTGACTGTTAAGGTTGAACCACATATTCTGCAAACACCCCTTCAAAAATACTCACTTAAGCATCTGGGCCAGCATTCTTCAATAAGTGAATTCTTACCTCTCCTCTCTTGTGTGTTCCCCTGGGATTTTATTGTATGTGTTATGAATGTACAGTATTGACCTACATTAGCCATAAAAACATGCACCTGTTAAACAGGAAGAATGCCTAAAAACCGTCAGTAGGGGCTATCTCTGGAGGAGGGAACTGAGGACAGAGGTGGAGGAAGAAGATTTTCTTTTTTTTTTTTTTTGAGATAGAGTCGCGTTCTGTCACCCAGGCTGGCAGTGGAGTAAGTGATCTCGGCTCACTGCAACCTCCTTCTCCCAGGTTCAAGCCATTTTCCTGTCTCAGCCTCCTAAGTAGCTAGGACTACAGGCATGCGCCACCACGCCTAGCTAATTTTTGTATTTTTAGTAGAGACAGGGTTTCACCATGTTGGCCAGGCTGGTCTTGAACTTCTAACCTCAGGTGATCTGCCCCCCTCAGCCCCTCAAAGTGCTGGGATTACAGGCGTGAGCCGCCGTGCCTGGCCAGCTATTCCTTTTTAACAGCTACTTTTTTTCTTCCTTTTTTTTTTTTTTTTTTTTAGACAGTCTTGCTCTGTTGCCCAGGCTAGAGTGTGGTGGCTTGATCTCGGCTCACTGCAACCTCTGCCTCCCAGGTTCAAGTGATTCTCTTGCCTCAGCCTCCTGAGTGGCTGGGACTATGGGCACGTGTCACCACGCCTGGCTAATTTTTGTATTTTTGGTAGAGATGGGGTTTCACCATGTTAGCCAGGATGGTCTCGATCTCCTGACCTTGTGATCCGCCTGCCTTAGCCTCCCAAAGTGCTGGGATTACAGGTATGAGCCACTGTGCCCGGCCTAACAGCTACTTTTTAGGGCTTTTAGTTCATGCTGCCAAGTTGCCCTCCACTGAGGTTGACTCAGTTTACCTGACCACTGACAGGACAGTGACCTGTTTTCCAGCACTCTTGCCAACACTCAACTTTGTACCTTTTTTCTTCTCAAAATGTTTATTATAGTAAAATACACGTAAGACTTACCATCTATGCCATTTTAAGTGTATAGTTCATGGCATTGAAAACATTCCTAATGTTCTGCACCCATCACCACCATCCATCTCTAGGACTCTCTTCATCTAGTAAAACTCAACTTTATAATTTTTAACATTCCCATCACCACCATCCATCTCCAGGACTGTTTTCATCTAGTAAAACTCAACTTTATAATTTTTAACATTCCCATCACCACCATCCATCTCTAGGACTCTCTTCATCTAGTAAAACTCAACTTTATAATTTTTAACATTCCCATCACCACCATCCATCTCCAGGACTTTTCATCTAGTAAAACTCAATTTTATAATTTTTAACATTTGCCAATATAATGGGCAGTTATTTAAAATGTGCCTTTCTTTAACTGCAGGTAAGCTTTTTCTCCTACTTTTTCCCCTGTTTGGCACACCTTCATTCTTGAACCCCTCTCATTGGATCTGCTGGCTCTTCCAGCCTCTGGCTCCTTCGCTGTGGCTTTGGTGGACACTTCTGTCACACCGTTAGTGTCCCCTCAGACAACATCGCACATCCCCTGTGTTCGTGATCTGTGTCCACGTGTCTGCAGGTCTAGGATGTGCTTTCTGTTTAACCATCACCAGCTGCTCCAGGCGGAAGGCCTTCCCTCTCAGGCTTACCCCAACCAGCCTCAGCACCCTCTCGGATAATTGCAGCCCCACTGAAGACCATCCTAGAGGCTTGCATGCTGAAGATACTCTCCCTGGCCTCTTTGCCATTGACCTGGCTGGTGCTTCCATTTGAATGGTGTCTCTGTCTTCCTACTAGCTAGTGAGCCCTTGGAGGATGGACGTTTCATCTTCTCCTCTTTCTCCTCTCTTCCTCCCCTTCTACCAGCCCCTAGAATTTCGCGTGGTGGCGCAAATATAGTGTTGCCTAACAAATAAATGTCTGTAGGAATTACGTTGGCATTCTGGGGATGCAGAACATCAATAAAGTGGAGGTAATCTTTTCTTTCGTTTGTTCTGTCGTATTCTCACTTAGTTTTTTCTTCCTGAAAATTATGACTATGGGGCAACTGTTGTATTTCTGAGTTCTGCTCCAACCCAGCACCAAAAACTAAAGTCTCCACTTGGAAAGTTGGTATTTTCAGCCATTAAGAGGTTTTCCCACCTTGCCCGTTGTGTTTATTGCGCTGTACGGGCACTGTCCGATGGAACTTTCTGCAGGGATGGGAATGATCTTTATGTGAGCTGTCCAAACAATGACCATGGCTGCATGTGACCACTGAGCATTTGAAATGGGTCTAGTGCAACTGAGAAGTTAATTTTGTTTGATTTCAACTAATTTGAATAGTCATGTGTGGCTAGTGATTACCATATTGGAAAACACAGCTGTATACATCACAGAAGTGTCAGCTTGGCTGTGTGTGTGCGGTGGCTCACGCCTGGAATCCCAGCACTCTGGGAGGCTGAGGCAGGTGGATCACTTGAGGTCAGGAGTTTGAGGTCAGCCTAACCAACATGGTGAAACCCCATCCCTACTAAAAATACAAAAATTAGCCAGTGTGGTGGCACATGCCTGTAGTTCCAGCTACTTGGGAGGTTGAGGCAGGAGAATTGCTGGAACCCGAGAGATGGAGGCTGCAGTGAGCCAAGATTGTGCCACTGCTCTCCAACCTCCAGCCTGGGTGACAGAGCAAGACTCCATCTCAAAAAAAGAAAGAAAAAATAAAGAAGGGTCAACAATTAGCAAAGTATTTTTAGAAAATTTAGAGACATATTTTGATTGTTCCCTTTTTATAAGCATCTTAGAGCTAAAACTCTGCTTATCAGGACAGTTATTATATAACAAGTGATTAAATGCCAGGACCATTTATTAAGGCTAAAATTTGGACTTCTTTAAGACTTTTACTAATCCATGAGTGATCTACCCATTACTGTTCATGACTAGCCCAAAGCTGGATGTTGTCTGTCTCTGGGCCCTGTGTGTGTGTGTGTGTGTGCGTGTGTGTGCGCGCACACATATACCAAATGCAAGTGTGTCCTCCTACTCAGAAGTTTGTGTATTAGTAATATCAAGTAATAGATGCTTGCTGAAGTCACCACATTGGAACAAAACCAAACAGGGATGGAGACTATAATATTAATTTTTGTTTTTCCTTCTCCAGAAGGTCAGTGCACCAGATATTCTGAAACCTCTCAATCAAGAGGATCCCAAATGCTCTACTAACCCTATTTTGAAGCAACAGAATCTCCCATCCAGTCCGGTGCCCAGTGCCATATTCTCTGGAGGTTTTAGACATGTGAGTCTCATTCCAGTGCTCTTTTTGTTTGTTTGTTTGTTTGAAAGCATAATGTACAAGTATTTATTTCAATTACTCCTATTTGAAGGTCCTTATTTTTGGAGAACGGCAAGGCATTTTATTATCCATCCTTGCATTCCTTATAAGGCTTCCACAGGTTTTGGTAAAGTCGCATTATCCTCAGGCCTGTTGTTTTGGAGTTACTCCAGGTGTGTCAGCAGATTCATTATCAATCCACTCCACCAGTGCTCTGTAGCCTTCTACAGCGCTGGAGTCAGTAGCGCTCTGTAACTCGCGTAAACAGGGCAAGAGGGCGCCGGTCAGCTTCTTCCAAGTGGTTGGAGGCTTGCGTTAGGCGTGGAAGCTACCAACAGTGTCACATTCCATGTGTGTGTCCAGTCTCATGGGTTAAAATCTTACGGGCTCAATGTACTGAAACACTAGTTCTTTCCAGAATGTAATAGTTATCAAAAATTGAATAGTCAGTTGAAGATGTTTTCTGGCACTTCCTCCCTTTGCCTTCATAGCACAAGCTTTAAAAATCACTGCCGTACTTAGCAAAGCTGAATATCCCTACACCATCTGTCAAAGAGAGCCGTCCAAAGACAAAGTTTCAGGAGTCTCCTGGGTAAAGATCAATCATTGTTATTGACACAGGCATTTTCAGGTTTCTTCTTTTTTAAGAACTTCACCATGTCCCCTGCATGAACTTGCAGGCTTTGTTTGTGAGTTATCATTGACTCTAAAGGAACACCTCATTGCAGAAACAGGAACCAGTTCTAGGAGTTTTGCTGTCAAGCCATAGAAATATCCCTCACAGTAAGCCTTGAGCCATTTAATAGATTCTTCACTGATAATTCTGCTGTTTCCTAGAGATCCAGTGGTCTGAATATAAATACTGCATTTGTCTGGAGAGAGTATCTTTCTGTAAGGGCCACTGAAGAACTGTTCAAGGTCTTGGGGAGCCTCTGGATGGGAAGGGTTCTAATATGATTGGGAATGCAAAGTAATGGGTCCAAAGAGATCAGTGGCTGGCTGGAAGTCTTCGTTCATACAGCACTGTTTTCCCCAGCATCTAATTTCCCATACTGTGACACAAGGCCTGGGTTCCTTGAGATAAGAGCTGTTTTCAGTGTTTGTTCAGAGTGCCGTACTGTTTGCATAATGACAGATCTCTTCTGTTAACATCGTGTTCCTAGGTTGAACTTTATTTATTTATATTTTTTCTGAGACAGTCTCGCTCTGTTGCCCAGGCTGGAGTGCAGTGGCGTGATCTCGACTCACTGCAAGCTCCGCCTCCTGGGTTCACGCCACTCTCCTGCCTCAACCTCCGGAGTAGCTGGGACTACAGGCGCCCGCCACCACGCCCGGCTAATTTTTTTGTATTTTGAGTAGAGATGGGGTTTCACCGTATTAGCCAGGATGGTCTCGATCTCCTGACCTCATGATCCACCCACCTTGGCCTCCCAAAGTGCTGGGATTACAGGCGTGAGCCACTGCGCCCAGCTGAACTTTCTTTATTTTAATTTTCTTTCTTTATTTTTTGAGATGGAGTCTTGCTCTGTTGCACAGGCCAGAGTGCAGGCTGATGCCATCTCAGCTCACTGTAGCCTCCGCCTCCCAGTTCAAGCAGTTCTCTTGCCTGTCTCCCGAGTAGCTGGGATTACAGATGCCCACCACCACGTCTGGCTAGTTTTTGTATTTTTAGTAGAGACGAGTTTCACCATGTTGGCCAGGCTGGTCTCGAACTCTTGACCTCAACTGATCTGCCTGCCTTGACATCCCAAATTTCTGGGATTACAGGCATGAGCCACCGCAGCTGGCCTAGAACTTTCGTTCTTCCTTTTAAATGGGTCAAACAGGTGTTCAGTCATGAGGCTTTATTAGAAAGAAGGCATCCTGCCGGGCGTGGTGGCTCACGCCTGTAATCCCTGCACTTTGGGAGGCCGAGGCGGGCAGATCACGAGGTCAGGAGATCGAGACCATCCTGGCTAACACGGTGAAACCCCGTCTCTACTAAAATACAAAAAATTAGCCGGGTGTGGTGGCGGGTGCCTGTAGTCCCAGCTACTCGGGAGGCTGAGGCAGGAGAATGGCGCGAACCCGGGAGGCGGAGCTTGCAGTGAGCCGAGATGGTGCCACTGCACTCCAGCCTGGGCGACAGAGTGAAGACTCCGCCTCAAAAAAAAAAAAAAAAAAAGAAGGCATCCTTCTGAGGTTTTTACCTTACAAGGATGGACATAGCAAGGCCTGGCTGGAAAAGTATTGTGGAAGGAATCTTCACCCACCAGGCCTTGAGGCCACCCACCCACCCCCCATGGCTGTTCTGATGTGTGCACCTCATCCAAATACTTTTTTTTTTTTGAGATGAAGTCTCCCTCTGTCGCCCAGGCTGGAGTGCAGTGGTGCGATCTCAGTTCACCGCAACCTCCGCCTCCCGGGTTCAGGCAATTCTCCTGCCTCAGCCTCCCGAGTAGCTGGGATTACGGGCATGAGCCACTGTCCCCAGCCCCAAGTACTCTTGATATGTGCGGCATGGTAATGACATCAGTAGACAAGGGGAGGGATGAGCTGCCGCCCTTGTGAGAGAAACTGGAATGTGACAATAGAACTTGGAAGTGATATTTTACTTAGGCTGAGATTTGGGGAAACCCTTACTATACTTTGAGAGTGGTTTTCTTTTCTACATCTTACTGTAAACATTTTCATACATATGGAGAGTAATAATAAATATTGGTGTCTTTTGATTTTGTGTGTTTTAAATTTTGGTGAAGTCTGATTTGGCAGCACGTTCTTTTACGGTTAAGTCTGTGTCTTACCCATCCACCAGTCATGAAGATATTCTCCCATATTTTCATCTAGAAGTTTAGGAAAGTTTAGTTTTTGTGTTCAGGCCTGTACTCCAGCTCATTATCATTTTTGTGTGTAGGTGAATGGTGTAAGGTAGGGATCGGGGCTCATTTTTTTCCATGTGGATATTTGGTTAATCTAGTACCATTTGTTTAAAAAAAAAAAAAAAAAAAGGGCTATTATATCCCCCAGTGACTTTGGCATCTTGGCTGGAAATCAAATAACCACATAAGTGTGGCTCTCCTTATAAACTCTCTGTTCTGTTCCAATGATCTCCTCGTCTATCCTTATGCCAAGATCACACTATCCTGAGTACTGTATCTTTGTAGTAAGTCTTGAAGTTGGGTATTATAAATCTTCCAATTTGGTTCTTCTTTTTCAAGATTGCTTTGTGATGTCTTAAATGTATTCTCTGTGTATAGGTAGGCATTTTAATTCATTCGTTCATTCATTTGTTTATTAAAAAACATTGAGGCCGGGCGCGGTGGCACACGCCTGTAATCCCAGCACTTTGGGAACCTGAGGCAGGTGGATCATGAGGTCAGGAGATCGAGACCATCCTGGCTAACATGGTGAAACCTCATCTTTACTAAGAAAAAAACATAAAAAATTAGCTGGGCGTGGTGGCAGGCGCCTGTAGTCCCAGCTACTCGGGAGGCTGAGGCAAGTGAATAGCGTGAACCCAGGAGGTGGGGCTTGCAGTGAACCAAGATTGTGCCACCGCACTCCAGCCTGGGCGATGGAGCAAGACTCCATCTCAAAAAACAAACAGACAAAAAACAGTGAGTGTTAACTTTTTGCCTAGAATTGTGATGCATGGTGTAATAGATGGATTCTTGGATGAGGGGCCATGATGCTTCAATTAACAGTTGTGTTAGTCCATCCATGTTGCTATAGCAAAATACCACAGACTGGGTAATTTGTAAACAATAGAAATTTATTTTTCTTGGTCCTAGACACTGGGAAGTTCAAGATATCAAGGCATGGGCAGGACTGATATCTGGTGGTCTGTGGCTCATAGATGGCTCCGTCTAAGTGTCTTCCTCACATAGTGAAAAGGATGAAAGGGAAAGAGGGTCCAGTGCTGTGTGCAGCCTCTTTTATAAAGGCCTGAATCCCATTCACTAGAGCCCTGTCCTCATGGCTGAATCAGCTCCCAGAGGCCCCACCTCTTCATACTATCACATTGGTGATTACATTTCAACATGTGAACACTTGGATCTTTCAAGTTGCCAGCTTAGCCCCCTTCCAAGTGTATTTTACTTTCATTTGTAAAACAAAAATGAAAATGAAAATATTTCAACATATGAATTTTGGAGGGGACATAAACATTCAAATCATAGCAACAGTCATGGTTCTTTCACATCTTATATGACCTTAGACAATTGCAGAAACCCTCTCAACATTGGAATCCTCATCAGGGAAATGGGCATTTGAGTTCTTTATTTTTTTTGAGGAGTCTCGCTTTGTTGCCCAGGCTGGAGTGCAGGGGTTGATCTTGGCTTACAGAAACCTCCACCTCCGGGGTTCAAGAGATCCTCCTGCCTCAGCCTCCCGAGTAGCTGGGATTACAGGGCCACGCCACCATGCCTGGCTAATTTTTGTATTTTTAGTAGAGATGTGGTTTCACCATGATGACCAGGCTGGACTTGAACTCCTGACCTCAGGTGCTCTGCTCACCTTGGTCTCCCGAAGTGCTGGGATTAAAGGCATGAGCCACCGCGCCCAGCCCTTCTTCTTCCTCTTTTTTTTTTTTTAAAGACAGAGTCTTACTTTGTCACCCATGCTGGAGGACAGTGATGCGATCATGGCTCACTGCAACCTTGACCTCCCAGGTCCAAGTGATCCTCCTTCCTCAGCCTCCCAAGTAGCTGGGACCACAGGCATGCCCCACCATGCCTGGCTAATTTATTTTTTTGTAGAGTTGAGGTCTTGGCTTAAGCAATCCTCCCATCTTGGCCTCCCAAAGTGCTGGGATTACAGGCATGAGCCACCATGCCCAGTGGAGGGTTTTTTTTGCTTCACTGCATTGCTTAGAAAATAAAAGAATGTGTGAATTCCATGGTGCAGTGCAGTGTTAAGAGCTCAGCCTCAAGAAACCAACTTCTTGGTGCAGGTTCCAGCTCTGTTAGTGGCAAGGAATGTGATGC